TATATATATATATATATATATATATATATATATATTATATATATAATATATATATTATATATATATATATATATATATATATATATATATAGTATATATAATATTATATATATATATATATATATATTATATATAATATATATATTATATATATATATTATATATTATATATATATATATATTTATATATATATATATATATATAATATTTTTTTTTATTTTTATTAGCACACTGTCCGATTCCCACCAAGGCAGGGTGGCCCAAAAAAGAAAAACTCACCATCATTCACTCCCTCACTGTTTTGCCAGAAGGGTGCTTTACACTACAGTTTTTAAACTGCAATATTAGCACCCCTCCTTCAGAGTGCAGGCACTGTACTTCCCATCTCCAGGACTCAAGTCCGGCCTGCGGTTTCCCTGAACCCCTTCATAAATGTTACTTTGATCACACTCCAACAGCACGTCTTGTATTAAAAACCATTTGTCTCCATTCACTCCTATCAAACACGCTCACGCATACCCGCTGGAAGTCCAAGCCCCTCGCACACAAAACCTCCTTTACCCCCTCCCTCCAACCTTTCCTAAGCCGACCCTATCCCGCCTTCTTTCCACTACAGACTGATACACTCTCGAAGTCATTCTGTTTCGCTCCGTTCTCTCTACATGTCCGAACCACCTCAACAACCCATCCTCAGCCCTCTGGACAACAGTTTTGGCAATCCCACACCTCCTCCTAACTTCCAAACTCCGAATTCTCTGCATTATATTCACACCACACATTGCCCTCGAACATGACATCTCCACTGCCTCCAGCCTTCTCCTCGCTGCAACAATCATCACCCATGCTTCACACCCATATAGGAGCGTTGGTAAAAACTATACTCTCATACATTCCCCTCTTTGCCTCCAAGGACAAAGTTCTTTGTCTCCACAGACTCCTAAGTGCACTGCTCACCCTTTTCCCCTCACCAATTCCATGATTCACCTCGTCTTTCATAGATCCATCCGCTGACACGTCCACTCCCAAATTTCTGAATACATTCACCTCCTCCATACTCTCTCCCTCCAATCTGATATCCAATCTTTCATCACCTAACCTTTTTGTTATCCTCATAACCTTACTCCTTCCTGTATTCACTTTATATATATATATATATATATATATATATATATATATATATATATATATATATATATATATATATATATATATATATATATATGTAGGTAGTAGGTTGGTAGACAGCAACCACCCAGGGAAGTACTACCGTCCTGCCAGATGACTTTTGGAAACAGAACCCTGTAACTGTTTTGCATGATCGTAGGTTTGCTGGTTTCTTTTTCTGTCTCATAAACACGCTAGATAACAGGGATATCTTGCTACTCCTACTTACACTTTGGTCACACTTCACAGACACGCACATGCATATATATAAAATTTACATCTAGGTTTTTCTCCTTTTTCTAAATAGCTCTTGTTCTTCTTTATTTCTTCTATTGTCCATGGGGAAGTGGAAAAGAATCTTTCCTCCGTAAGCCATGCGTGTCGTATGAGGCGACTAAAATGCCGGGAGCAATGGGCTAGTAACCCCTTCTCCTGTAGACTTTTTACTAAAAAAGAGAAGAGGAAAAAAATTTATAAAACTGGGATGCTTAAATGTGCGCGGATGTAGTGCGGATGACAAGAAACAGATGATTGCTGATTTATGAATGAAAAGAAGTTGGATGTCCTGGCCCTAAGCGAAACAAAGCTGAAGGGGGGGGGGAAAAGTTTCATGGGGGGGAAAAAAATGGGTTTGAATCGGGTATCTGAGAATTAGAGCAAAGGAAGGGGTAGCGTAATTTTAAATGTCTTTGGAAGGGAAAAGAAAAAATTGAAGTGTAAATTCAAAAATTAGTGTTTAAAGAAAAGGGGTTGGATGCGAGAAGGGGGGGAATAATAAGGTGGATGCACCTGGAGAAGAGAGGAATGTAGAGGAGAGAGAAAATTTTTGGGAGATTTTTAAGTGAAGTTAGAGCCCTATAAACCAAGTGGTGAGTTTTTGTGGTAGGGGACCTGAATGCTAAAGTAGGGAAACTTTTAGAGGGTTTGGTAGGTAAGTTTGGGGTCCCGGGTTTTAAATGATAATGGGACCCCCTTTGTTTGAATTTGTATAAAAAGGGGTTTAGTTATAGGTATACATTTTTTTAAAAAAAAGGGAAAAAAAAGTATACAAGTTTTGTTTGAGGGGAAATGACAGTGTTTGTTGGATTATGTTTGGGGTAGTAAAAGACTTTGGTAGTTTCAGGATGTAATTTTATAGAGGGGCCACAGATATATCAGATCCTTTTAGTTGTGCACACTGAGAGTAAAAGGTAGAGGGGGAAAAAGGAGAATAGAAGCATCGGGGGAAGAGAGAGGTGAAGGTTTTAAACTAAAAGAGGAGGAGAGTAAGATAAAAACAGCATTGGAGGATAGAGGGGCTAATGAGAGCAAGGAAAGGGGTCGAAGGGTATGGGGGGTTTTAAAAAAATGTGTGTTAGAGTTTTCAGCGAAGTTTTGTGGTTACGGGAAAGTTGGTGCGGGGGGAAAGGAGCGTTTGGTGGAATGATATGTAAAGAGAGTAGAAAGAGAGAAAAAGTTAGCATAAGAAATTTTACAAAGTAGAAGTGATGCAAGGAGGGAAAAAAGGGATATGGAGAAAAAGGGAGGTTAAAAGAGTGGTTAGCAATGTGAACGAGAGCCAAAAAGGGGATGGGGGAGTGTTTCAACAAATTTTGTTGAAAATAAGGAAAAAGTTTTGGGTGAGATTTAAAAAGTTAAGAAAGCCTGGAACAAATGGATTTGTCAGTTAAAAAAAGGGGAGGGAGTTATTAAAAAGGAGAGTTAGAGGTATTGGGAAGATGTAGGGGTATTTTGAAAAATTTTTTTAAAATTTTTAGAAAATAGGGAAGCTGTATTTCGTGTATAGGGCAAGGGGGAATAACATTTTGTGGGGTGAGGGAAAAGCTAGTTGTGAGTGTGGGGGAAGTTCGGAGGGGTAGGTAAAAGAAAGGGGGTAAGGCAGCCGGGATTATGGGTAAGATAGAAATGTTAAAAGGGTGGGGTATAGGTTTGGAGGGTTGGGGCAATTTTTTAATAAATGTATGGAAAAGGGTAAGGGACCCAGGGATTGGCAGAGAGCATGCATAGTTCCTTTGTTTAAAGGGAAAGGGGATAAAAGAGAGTGCAAAAAATATAGGGGGATAAATCTGCTGAGTATACCTGGTAAAGTGTATGGTAGAGTTATTATTGAAAGAATTAAGAGTAAGACGGAGAATATGATAGCAGATGAACAAGGAGGCTTTAGGAGAGGTAGGGGGTGTGTGGACCAGGTGTTTACAGTGAAACATGTAAGTGAACAGTATTTAGATAAGGCTAAAGAGGTCTTTGTGGCATTTATGGATTTGGAAAAGGCTTTATGACAGGGTGGATAGGGGGGCAATGTGGCAGATGTTACAAGTGTATGGTGTAGGAGGTAGGTTACTGAAAGCAGTGAGGAGTTTTTACGAGGATAGTGAGGCTCAAGTTAGAGTATGTAGGAAAGAGGGAAATTATTTTCCAGTAAAAGTAGGCCTTAGACAAGGATGTGTGATGTCACCGTGGTTGTTTAATTTTTTTATAGATGGGGTTGTAAGAGAAGTAAATGCAAGGGTCTTGGCAAGAGGCGTGGAGTTAAAAGATAAAGAATCACACACAAAGTGGGAGTTGTCACAGCTGCTCTTTGCTGATGACACTGTGCTCTTGGGAGATTCTGAAGAGAAGTTGCAGAGATTGGTGGATGAATTTGGTACGGTGTGCAAAAGAAGAAAATTAAAGGTGAATACAGGAAAGAGTAAGGTTATGAGGATAACAAAAAGATTAGGTGATGAAAGATTGAATATCAGATTGGAGGGAGAGAGTATGGAGGAGGTGAATGTATTCAGATATTTGGGAGTGGACGTGTCAGCGGATGGGTCTATGAAAGATGAGGTGAATCATAGAATTGATGAGGGGAAAAGAGTGAGTGGTGCACTTAGGAGTCTGTGGAGACAAAGAACTTTGTCCTTGGAGGCAAAGAGGGGAATGTATGAGAGTATAGTTTTACCAACGCTCTTATATGGGTGTGAAGCATGGGTGATGAATGTTGCAGCGAGGAGAAGGCTGGAGGCAGTGGAGATGTCATGTCTGAGGGCAATGTGTGGTGTGAATATAATCCAGAGATTTCGTAGTTTGGAAGTTAGGAGGAGGTGCGGGATTACCAAAACTGTTGTCCAGAGGGCTGAGGAAGGGTTGTTGAGGTGGTTCGGACATATAGAGAGAATGGAGCGAAACAGAATGACTTCAAGAGTGTATCAGTCTGTAGTGGAAGGAAGGCGGGGTAGGGGTCGGCCTAGGGAAGGTTGGAGAGAGGGGGTAAAGGAGGTTTTGTGTGCGGGGTCTTGGACTTCCAGCAGGCATGCGTGAGCGTGTCTGATAGGAGTGAATGGAGACAAATGGTTTTTAATACTTGACGTGCTGTTGGAGTGTGAGCAAAGTAACATTTATAAAGGGGTTCAGGGAAACCGGCAGGCCGGACTTGAGTCCTGGAGATGGGAAGTACAGTGCCTGCACTCTGAAGGAGGGGTGTTAATGTTGCAGTTTAAAAACTGTAGTGTAAAGCACCCTTCTGGCAAGACAGTGATGGAGTGAATGATGGTGAAAGTTTTTCTTTTTCGGGCCACCCTGCCTTGGTGGGAATCGGCCAGTGTGATAAAAAAAAAATATATATATATATATTCTAGAACAACACTGCGTCTAGCTGAGGACTCGAACCCGTGTTGTTTTGGCCCGCCTCATATTGAGCGAAAATCACACGAAACTCTAACCCACAGGACCACCTAATCCTACAAAGATCACGTACCTAGCAGAGCTATGTGTTGTACCGTGATCCGAGGACATACGATATCCTCGGATGGGTGCCTAGGAAGACTAATCATGAACAAATTATTGCCTTCCGTAGGGTTTGTCGCCTGGCCGTACCTACCATATACAAGTGTTGGCTGTAAATGCTAGAGGGTCATCACCTCCGTCTCCAACCCTCAGTATCACCACCCTACAAGAACCACCCACAGCACCGCCCACACGTCTCCGCGCCCACGGTCGTCAACAGACTACTATCACCGTTACTTGGCAGGTAACTCAACTCACATGCACAAGTCTTAGGCAACATACCCACGGTTATCATGGGAAGCAAATACCTAATTATGCTTAATTAGTTTGAAGTGCATATGTGTGTGTGTGTGTGTGTGTGTGTGTGTGTGTGTGTGTGTGTGTGTGTGTGTGTGTGTGTGTGTGTGTGTGTGTGCGTACTTGCCTAATTGTACTAACATAATTGTAGATGCAGGTGTCGCGATCCAGCTCTTAGGCCCGCCTTTCCCATGGCCAATACTGCTTTCACTCTCTCCATGATTGAGTGTGGCACATCATACCTATCCTGCCTTCGCTGGCTAGTTCGTTCCACTTCCTCACCACTCTATGGCTAAAGAAGTATTTTCTCACATCCGTGTGACTTGCTTGTTCTGGTACCTTCCAGTTGTGGCCTCGTGAGACTCGCCTCTCAAACAATCTGCCCGCTCATTCAATTCTCATCTCTGGTCCTTCTGTCCTTTAATGTCGTCACTTTTACCTCACCTCATATCCCATGCCCCTCAGCTCTGGTATTAGATTTATTGCAAACCATTGCACTTTTTCCAACTTCTTTATGTGCTTTACCAGAGGCAGGTTCTATACTGACGCTGCATACTCCAAGATGGGCCTGACATCTGCCGCGTATAAGGTTGTGAACATCTCCTTGTTGGTGCTCCTGAAAACTAAAGTTTGACAGTCTCGCGTTTGCGAAATGCTCAGCACTAGGATCACCCCCGAGGACCTTCTGTTTCTAGAAGGTTTGCAGCCTTTGCTCCTAGATCCTGTACCATATTTACGATGGCTTTGCAATTCATTGGTTTTCATAACTTCGCATTGAACGGGGTTAAATTCCAATAGATACTTGTCAGACCTATCCTACAGCATTTCCAGATATATTTGTAGTCTTTCCTTGTCTACGCCTGTTTGTATTCTCATTAATTTCACATCTGAGGCCAGGGATATCTCAGACTCTATTTCCTTTGTCATGTCCACATTCACAAAAAACAGTACTGGTCTAAGTACTGCCCCTTCTGTAACTCCATCTATCACACTCGCCCATTCTCAACACCTTCTCCCTGACAGACACTTCTTGTTTCCTTCCAGTTATTTATTCCTGGTTCTGCTGTAGTGCTTCCCCTGTAATTCCTGTCTCCTCATATAGCTTTTGTGCCAGCCACTTGAGGGGTATTGTGTCGAATGCGTTCATGCGATCCCAAATTAAAAATGTATCTTATCAATCGCTCTCTCATGCCTAACTTTCATTACCGTATCAAAGAACTCGAACAGATTTGTGAGACAGGATTTACCATCTTGAAAACCATGCTGGTTGCTTTTGAATCCACTCCTTGCCAGGTGCCCCACAAATCTTCTCCGGATAATGGTCTCCATAACCCCTACATACTATGCATGTTGGTGACACTGGCCTATAATTCAATGCCACCTGTCTGTCCCATTTTTTTCTACACTAAGAATACTCTCGCGGTTTCCTAGATCGCTGGAGGTTGCCCTGCTTTACTCTCTTTGATGAAGATTGTTGGTAGTGGTTCACACAATTCCTCTGTTCCTTTTAGAAAATATTTTTGAGAGATATTTTCTGGTTCCATTGCCTTCGAGGTATCTAGTTCACTCAGTATTTTCCTCACATCTTCTCCCATTGTTTATATTGTGTCCAATACTGCATTCACCCTCCTTGACAATCTGACTTTGTTTCTGATTCTACTGAGAATGCAGACTTCTTGATCATTCCTGGTGAGCTTCCCTCCTTCCTTCTTCAGATTTATTAATTTGTTGTCCTTCTGATGTGGCAATACATCAACTTTGGCTCAGATTTGGCATTTGATACTATGTTATTCTCAAATTGTAGCTCAGCATCTCTTCTTACCCACACATATTCATTTATGGTTCCTCTTCTTGTTTCTCTATTCCCTGGAGCCCTTTCCTTACTGTATGCCTGCTATAGTCTTGCACTTTTAACTTTTCCTCTATCTTCACCTCTGAGTGAACCATAATCTCATTCTGTTCTTGTCTGTGCTTCTTCTGCATCTTGGCATGAAGTTCTCCTCTGCCTCCTGGCACTTTCCAGCTACATACTCTGTCATTTCATCTGCTGCCTTACCTTCCAGCTCCCTTTCCCATGACACTCTGGTTATGCATCAGGGCATCATAATCTCCTCTTTTGGTGTATGTGTATGTGTGTACTCACCTAGTTCTACTCACCTAGCTGTGGATGCAGGAGTCGAATCACAGCTCCTGGCCCCGCCTCTTCACCGGTCACTACTAGGTCATTTTTCCTCCTCCATGATTATTCCACTTCCTGACAACTCTGATTGAAGAAATACTTCCTAACATCTCTGTGATTCATATGAGTCTTCAGCTTCTAACTGTGACCCCTTGTCGCTGTGTCTCATCTCTGGAACATCCTGTCTCGGTCCACCTTGTCAGTTCCTCTCAGTATTTTATATGTCGTTACCATATCCCCCTATCGCTCCTGTCATCAAGTGTCGCCAGGTCGATTTCTCTTAACCTCTCCTCGTAGGACATGCCCCTTAGCTCCGGGACTAATTTCGTTGCAGTCCTTTGCACTTTCTCTAATTTCCTTATGTGGATACGTGTGCGTTCCAAAAGAGTGCGGCATACTTCAATACAGGCCTGACGTACACGGTGTACAGGATCCTCAACGATTCCTTATTGATACGTCGGAATGCTATTCTTAGGTTAGCTAGGCGCCCGTATGCTACAGCAGTTATTTGGTTGATGTGCGCCTCAGGAGATGCTCCTGGTGTTATACTCACCCAAAGATCCGTTTCTTTGAGTGAGGTTTGTAGTCTCTGGCTCCCTAGACTGTATTCCATCTGTAGTCTTCTTTGCCCTACCCCAGTCTTCATGACTTTGCCCTTAGTGGGGTTGAACTCCAGGAGCCAATTTCCGGAATAGGCCTTTAGCCTGTCAAGATCCCTTCGAAGTTCTGCCTGGCCATCGTTCCATTGAATTCTTCTCAGCAACTTCACATCATCTACAAACAGGGACACTTCTGAGTCTATTCCTTCATTCATGTGGTTCACATATACCAGAAACAGCACCGGTCCTAGGACTGATCCCTGTGGGACCCTGCTCGTCATAGGCGCCCACTCAGGCACGTCGTCACGTACCATGACTCGCTGTCTTTCCGACAGTTATTCCCTGATCCATTGCAGTGACTTCCCTGTTATCCCTAACTGGTCCTACAGCTTTTGCACTAATCTCATGTGTGGAACTGTGACAAACGCCTTCTTACAGTCCACAACCCAATCTACCCACCCCTGTCTCTTGTCTTACTGCTCTTACCCTGTCATAGAACTGCAGTAGGTTTGTGACGCAGGATTTCTTTTCTCTGAAACCGAGCTGGCTGTCGCTGATTGGCTTATTCCTTTCTAGGTGCTCCACCACTCTTCCCCTGATCTTACATAATAAACAAATCAGTGACACTGGTTTGTAGTTTAATGCTTCGTGTCTGTCTCCTTTTTTTTAGAAACTGAGACTTCATTTGCTGTTTTCCATACTTCAAGGAGTCGCCCTGTTTCGGTAATGTTGAAAATTGTAGTTAGTGGCACACATAGCGCCTCTGCTTCCCCTCTCAGGACCTATTGAAAGATTTCCTGTCCCATCGCCTTTGAGGTATCTAGCTCGCTTAGCATCCTCTTCACTTCTGCCTTGGTTATATGTATTGTGTCCAATATTTGATGGTGTACCCCACCTCTCCGTCTTTCTGGAGTCCTTTCTATCTCCTATGTGAACACTTTTTTGAATCTCATGTTGAGCTCCTCACATACTTCTCGGCCATTTCTTGTGATCTTCCCCCCTTCCTTCCTCAGCCTGAATTCCTGGTCCTTGACTGTTGTTTTCCTCCTGATGTGGCTGTACAACAGCTTAGGATAAGATTTGGCTTTCGCTGCTGTGTCATTTTTGTATTGTCGTTTGGCTTCCCTTCTTACCTGTGCATATCCATTTCTGGCTCCACGGCTGCTCTTCTTATTCTCCTGGGTCCTTTGCCTTCTGTGCTTCTTCCATTCTGTAGCACACTTGGTTTTAGCCTCTCTACACTTTAAGTGAACAAAGGGCTCATCTTGGATTTCTCGCTATTTCTGTTACCCTTGGGTATAAACTTCTCCTCAGCTTCCTTGCATATTGCTGTCACATATTCCATCATCTTATTTACTAACTTCTAGTTCCCTGTCCCACTGAACCCCGTGCAGGAAATTCTTCATGCCTGTACTTTAGCTTCATTCGTCGTGCCCTTCCTGCTTCCCTCTCCACTTGTAACTCTTCTATGTATTTGAAGCTCAGAACCATATGGTCGCTGGTCCCTAGGGGTCTTTCATATGTGATTCCTCAATATCTGCATTATTCAAGGTGCATACTAGGTCCAGTCTTGCTGGTTCATCCACTCCTCTCTCTCTGGTAGTTTCCCTTACGTGTTGGTACACGAAGTTTTCCAGTACCATTTTACCTCTCATCGTTTCTGGGATCCCATGTGGCTCCAGGTACTCCCAGTCAATTTCCTTGTGATTGAAGTCGCCCACAATCAGTAGCTTTACCCTGCTCGCATGAGTCCTTCTGAGCACTTCAGCCAGTGTGTCAACCATCGCTCTGTTATTCTCATCATATTCTTGCCTTGTCTTCCTGCTGTTCTGTGGTGGGTTGTACATCACTGCAATTACTACCTTGGGACCCCCAGACACAAGTTTTTCTAATATGTAGTCTCTTGCTTCTCCTCTGTCTCCTCTCTCCAGCTCATCAAAATTCCATTGGCATTTGATGAGCAGTGCCACTCCTCCACCCCCTCTGTTCCCTCTCTCTTTCCTCAGGATCTTTTACCCCATTGGAAAGATGGCATCTGTTATAATTCCTGCGAGCTTGCTTCTGTGAGAGCCATAATGCCTGGTGATGCCTCTTTGAATCATTTTGTGTGTGTGTGTTTGTGTGTGTGTATTAGCTCTGAGAAGGATGCCAGCCCACATAAAGCACTATTCTGCTCATATAATAGATATTATACTATTTCAAGATTGTAGCATATTTCATACTCCTAACATTACCTCACCTTCCCAAGGCTCCGGCTGCTCACCTGAGCCCAGGTGAGGTTACCGGCTATCAGGTTGGTTTCCAGGAGGCAGAGCTAGGAGAGGCGGGTGAGTACCGCTGGCGGAGTGCGCGAAGTGGTACAATGACTTCTGAGATCACTGGCCTCCGACACTACACCGCCTACAGAGTTACTGTGAGGGCTGTCAACCAGGTGGGGGCTGGCCCGCCAGCTCAAGCTGTGGTGGTCACCACCAGCCAGGGAGGTAAGTTAGTCTAGCTCTCCAGCACAAGCTGTACTTGTTAATTCCGGGTAGAGTAGTAGTTTCGTCAAGCCCTTCAGCACAAACTGTCGCCTTCTCCGTCAGGCAAAGTGGTAAAGTTGGCCCTACTGCATAGGCTGTCGTTATCTCCATCAGGCAGAGAGGTAGGTAGAAGCTGTCGTTGTCTTTATCAGCCAGGAACTTTAGAGTAACCAACGAGTAGAAGTTGTCGTTACCACAACAAACTGAAATCGATCAATATTGTGGAAGTCTGACTAAAAATCCTGAGAGTCATAATGTCAGATCTCGCTTTCAAGGAGCCTATCAATGGCACTATCGCTACTACAAGTTAAGTAGTAGGGTGAATAATTAAATATGTCAAAACAAGAGATGCCGAACAAGTTATTACACTCTTCAGATCTCGTGCTTTCTCTAACCTAGATTATTGTTGTAGTAATGGTTCTTCATGGCAGGCGAAATCGCAGGACTAGAATTATACAGAGAACCTTCACTGCTCGTATAAATTTAGTCATCACTTAAATTAATGAGAGTCCATGAAATCCCTCTAACTGTAATCCTTAGAACGTAAGCGAGCAAGATATATCATAACCCTCACCCTGAAGACTCTGAGGAGATTTATCCTAAATCTTCACTCTGCAATCCCTTCATGTGAAAACCTGAGGCTTGGCAGACGGCGCAGGATACCTCTAGTGAAAAGTAGGGAAGCGATGAGCAAACCGAGGGAGAAACCAAGTGTATAAGTATCACAACCCTTCAACACCCTTTCTTCGTGCATAAGGGAAATTATGTACAAACCCTTAGTTGTCTTCAAGGGATAACCCGATAAATTCCTATATCTCATGATCAGTCGGGCTGTAGTGCGGGCGGCGAGCACCAACACCCTAACTGATAAGGCAAGCAACCAGGAGGCCTGTTTTGGGACCTGACCGCGGGGCTTTTGACTTTCGGAAGTGACTACATGTAATCTATAGGTAACTAGCCAAGAAGGTTATTGTATTCCTCCAACACCATCATTCGTTGTAGGTCCTATGGTTTGGACTAACCTTGGATCAGGCAGAGGGAAATGTGAGAATCTTGAACGGGAAATATGTGAGCCGGGAAGAGCTGCAAGCAACCAGCACGAGAAGTCAATATCACCTCCAGGCATGAAGACTAGTCAGGACTCCTAACATTGTTGTTCAACTTGATTGGTATGTCCACAGAGGCTCATGTTAGGCACTGTTCTTGTTACGTATAAGTTATCAGTGTTACATTCACCAATTGTACCTTGGAACTAGTGCGAGCAATCATTTGTTTGTGACGGTTTCATGCAGGCTATGAAATGTCCTTTCAAAATCACGAAAATTTACCAGGAAAATATATTACCGGCCAAACTATAAGGTAAATAAAATATTTATAATAAACAATATTTATTATTTAATTTAATGCAACAGTTTTACATTCTGTTCTCAAAATATCAACATAGTAATAAACTCATAGTTTGCCAATTATTTTTTTCTTAAATTTCTCTGTATAATTTAAGTTCGTTAATTGTAAAACTGCATATAATTACATTTGATAATTGCATCTTCTTAGTGACCTTTTCGCTAGTCGTGTTGTCTACATATTCCTCACAAATAACAAAAAAAAAAAAAAAAGGCACAATACCGTGACTGGAACGATACACAAATAACCCGCACATAAAAGAGAGAAGCTTACGACGACGTTTCGATCCGACTTGGACCATTGACAAAGTCACACAAAGTCACAGTGTGACTTTGTCAATGGTCCAAGTCGGACCGAAACGTCGTCGTAAGCTTCTCTCTTTTATGTGCGGGTTATTTGTACATATTCCTCACCTCGGACTTACAATGAAATATGATTTATTTAATGACATACTCGTCATTATAATCATGCCCACTAAATGATCTGCAGCATTTAATATCTAAAAATTCTTTATTTCTGAGATGTTAAATTAACATGAGAAACTTTCATAAAATTTGTCATATATCAGATCAAACATTTAAAACATTTCTAAACCAGATTTTTAATAGACTTACCCATCGCATTTCTAATTTAACAATGCCGTCCGAATTAAAATAACGTTATTTTATGCACTTTTAGGCATAACATTTCATGTTAAATATTTTCTTGTTAATATTAAACATGCTTATAATATTTCCCTCCGTGGCATCAGTGCCATCAGCACCGCCAGAGAGTGTCAAGTGTGACCCTCTCTCGTCCCAGGCACTGAGAGTGCGCTGGCAACCACTCCCACTGAACCTTTCCAACGGACCTGTTCAGGGCTACAAAGTCTTCTATAAAAGGACGACAAACATTGAGGGTGAGCGAGGTTCATGAACATTGTCCAGACTTTCCATGGCTATGCAATAAACATTCAATAAACTCAAATAAAATGACGTCTGAAATGGCCTAAAACCATCTAGTACAACACTTGTTATCAGTAACAAACAAAAAGGCACAATACCGTGACTGGAACGATACACAAATAACCTGGACATGGAAGAGAGGAGCTTACCACGACGTTTTGGTCCGACTTGGACCATTTACAAAGTGTGACTTTGTAAATGGTCAAAGTCGGACCGAAACGTCGTCGTAAGCTCCTCTCTTCCATGTGCGGGTTATTTGTGAATACTTGTTATCAGGTCATCATTCAAAAATTTAATTTTGCCTACGTGTCTAGCTTTCTAAACTTAGAAATATATTTCAATTGTCTGAATAGCAAAGTTAATTACGGAGGCATCTCTCAGTGCTATACTCTCCTGTCAAACCCCTGAACATTATTTGCAGGGTCCAATGCAGTTGAGATCAAGCGCACGACCAACTTGGAGACCAACTTGCAGGGTTTGGGACGCTTCACTAATTACAGCGTGAGGGTGTTAGCCTTCACTGCTGCTGGGGACGGTGTGGTGTCCCAGCCAGTACTCTGCTCCACTCTCCAGGATGGTAAGCACGCAGCCTAATGTATTTTTTTTTTTTTTTTGCAAGGATGCATATATTAACTAGTGAGAGAATAGTGACATGTGTAATAGTATCTCAATTATATGAAAGCAGAAAGACGCACAGACAGACAGACAGACACACACACACACACACACACTCACACACACACACACACACACACACACACACAGCAGGACAGAGCAAGCACACACACAACCATTCCCAGACCCCACACAGACCACAACCCACACTCAGTGCACCATGCCCCACACTACGCTGTAGAATCCCACAGCACACTGCCAGGTCCCCCCCCCCCACACTCACTGACCCCCAAAACACAGTGTTGGAGAGGAAACTGAAGGTATGGTACATCAACGATGATCTAATAACGAATAAGTGAGAGGAGTGTCACGAGAGATTCAAAGAGGCATCACCTGACATCATAGCCCTCACAGAAACCAAGCTCACAGTGATCATAACAGATGCCATCTTTCTAACGGGATATTAGATCCTGAAGAAAGACAGAGGGAACAGAGGGGGTGGAGGAGTGGCACTGATGAACAAAAACCGATTGGATTTTGATGAGCTGGAGAGAAGAGCCAGAGGAGAAGCATGAGACTACATAATAGAAACGCATCATTCTGGTGACCCCAAGGTGGTAACTGCAGTGATGCATAACGCACCACAGAACAACAGGAGGCCAAGGCAAGAGTATGATGACAGTAATAGAGCAATGGTTGATACACTGGCTGAGGTGGCCAGAAGGGCTCATGTAAGCAGGGCAAAGCCAAGGATGTGATGGATGGCTTTGAAAACTGACGAGTTGAAGAATTGAGACACTTGAGACACTCACGGGATCTTGGTACAAAGACTTCAACGCTTGTCCAGCCTTTGGACGACGACCTACTTACACTTACAGGTCCCACTGTGATCCCGCCTCCTCCTGCTTCGACTCACCTGACTGCAGTATATAAGTCACCTCTCTGGCCCTATGCTGTACTTCCTACAAGAGTGATGGACTGAACACATCGATTCCAGGCTGAGGGACTGATTACCTCATACTCCTCCTCTCCTTACCGATTTCTACTTTGAATTGGACTGATGAAGCCACTGTGTGGCGAAACGTTTCTTCAATAAAGATTCCCATATGTTGCATAAGTGCCTCAGTTCTTCAACTCCAAGGATCAAGGGGGACTTCAGCCACAAGGAAATCGATTGGGGGAACTTGGAGCCCCATGGGGTCAAGAAACTTGGAGGACTAAGATGATGGAGGTGGTACTGGAAACCCTCATGTACACATAACCTAGTATTCACCTTGAGTAGTGCAGATATTGAGGATATCATATATGAAAGACCCCTTGGGACCAGTGATCATGTGGTTCTGAGCTTCAAATACATAGTAGAGTTACAGGTGGAGGGGGAAGCAGGAAGGGCCGGACGAATGAAGCCAAACTACAAGAAAGGGGACTATGCAGGCATGAAGAACTTCCTGAATAGGGTTCAGTGAGACAGAGGACTGGCAGGGAAGTCAGTAAACGAGAAAGGCGCAGAATTAGGGGGGATATGGTTGAGGTTTATAAATGGAAAACAGATATTAATAAAGCGGTGTTCAGTGGTCAGTCGTCAGTGTTCAGTGGTCAGTCGTCACGTGAGGTCACAGACCCTGAGCTGCTTTGGGGATTAGCGTGGATGGTTACAAAGCATGACTCAAGAAATCGTAATGACACGATTGCAAATAAACCATAACCCCGGCCGGGATTGAACCCGCGGTCATAGAGTCTCAAAACTCCAGCCCGTCGCGTTAGCCACTAGACCAGCTAGCCACAATAAGATTCATCCAACTAGGTATATTTCTACACCATAGGAAAGTTAGCACAGGCACCTCTGTGACCACAAATGCAAGTTTTTACAGACGAATCTCCAGCTAGCGTGGCCGTGACGAACTCTAGCTCAAGTCCCTTCACTGCCGTCACGGCCACGCTAGCTGGAGATTCGTCTGTAAAAAACTTGCATTTGTGGTCACAGAGGTGCCTGTGCTAACTTTCCTATGGTGTAGAAATATACCTAGTTGGATGAATCTTATTGTGGCTAGCTGGTTTAGTGGCTAACGCGACGGGCTGGAGTTTTGAGACTCTATGACCGCGGGTTCAATCCCGGCCGGGGGTATGGTTTATTTGCAATCGTGTCATTACGATTTCTTGAGTCATGTTGACGGCAGTGAAGGGACTTGAGCTAGAGTTCGTCACGGCCACGCTAGCTGGAGATTCGTCTGTAAAAAATTGCATTTGTGGTCACAGAGGTGCCTGTGCTAACTTTCCTATGGTGTAGAAATATACCTAGTTGGATGAATCTTATTGTGGCTAGCTGGTCTAGTGGCTAACGCGACGGGCTGGAGTTTTGAGACTCTATGACCGCGGGTTCAATCCCGGCCGGGGGTATGGTTACAAAACATGGCTTGCTTCTGCAGTGTTTTAAAAATTGAGGTTGGAGAGTTGAAGGAGGAGGTCTTGCTTCTCCAGGAGGAGATTAGGAGGCTGAAGGTCCACCTCAGTGGGTGTGGGAGAGAGTGTGAGGTGGCTGGAGTTGTGGGGAATGAGGCTTCTAGCAGTGAGGTGCAGTCTGTCTCTCGCTGTGAGGAGGCTGTAGGTGGGGAGGTAGCAACGGCTACCAGCAGTGGGGTGCAGTCCAGCACCTGCTGCAAGTGGCGAGTGGTAACCAGTAATGGGAGGAGAATCAGAATAAGGAAAGTTAAGAGTGAAGATCTGAAGGTAGGAAATCGCTTCTCTGTTCTTCAGGATGAATATACTTCAGTGGCCAGTGAAGGTAAGGGTACTACTGCCCCTGCTAACAGAGGTAAGCGCATTCTTGTGGTTGGTGACTCTCAGGTAAGATATATTGACCGTGCTTTTTGTAATAGGAATAAGAAGATGAGAGATAGAGTGTGCTTCCCTGGAGCTGGTGTTGGGGACATAGTTGACAGGCTGGATAATATCATGTCAGGTAATGGGAACGAGCCCATTATTTGTCTCAGTGCTGGTGGAAATGATGTTGGGAAGGGTAGGAGAGAAGAGCTGCTAGGTAAGTACAGGTCAGCTATTGATTTCATTAAGTCTAAGGGAGGGGTCCCAATCATATGTAGCATCTTGCCTAGAAGGGGAGTTGGAAATGAATGGTTGTCTAGGGCAATTGGTGTAAATTGCTGGCTAGACAGATACTGCAAGGAACTTGCAATCCCATTCATTGACAACTGGAACAACTTTTACGGCAAACATGATATGTATGCAAGGGATGGGGTACATCTCTCTGGGGCTGGGGTGGTAGCACTTGCAAACTCAATTGAGAAGGCCATTGGTGAAATGCCTATGATTTTAAACTGATAGAAGATAGAGGTATGGGTGTGTGGGGGGAAACAAGCAGGTTGCAACACTAGGGTTGGAATCAGTAAATGTATAAAAGGCATTCAGCATGAAGTTATAAATAAAGACAATAGATCAGGTCAGCAAAGGGGGACAGTAGAGGACAGCAAGGGACTAGCTCCCTTAAGGTTTACTATACTAATAGCAGAAGTGTAAGAAATAAGATAGATGAGCTAAGATTAATTGCAAGTGCAGGAAACATAGATATTATTGCTATAACAGAGACCTGGCTCAATCTGAAAGGTAGAGAGATGCGCCTCTGAATGTCACTACAAGGCTATAAATTATCCACACTGACAGGTCAACAGGAAGGGTGGTGGAGAGTAGCGATGTATGTCAGAGACAGTTTAAATTGTTGTGTTAGACAAGATATAAAAGTAGAAGCGTCAGCCACTGAATCTGTTTGGTTACAGCTTCTCGAGGGCCGAGGAAAACAAATTTTGGGTTGTGATTTACAGGGCCCCAAATCTTGAAAGGGAGTGCAGTAAACTTTATGGGACGAAATTCTTTAAGGCATCTACATACGAAAATGTTGTGGTAATGGGAGATTTAAAACTACAGACAGATTGACTGGAGCAATTTGACAGGAAATTTAGAGTCAGGTGACTTTTTTGATACGATCCAGGATTGTTTTTTAAAACAGTTTGTGACAGATTTCAAACTAGAGGAAATAACCTCCTTGACTTGGTTCTTGCCAGTAGGGAAACATAATTAATAATCTTGAGGTTAATGATGAGCTTGGGGGAAAGTGATCACAAATCACTCAGTATTAATATATCATGGAATTCCCCTAATAATGGCAATCAAGTCTCCGTCCCTGACTTTTGCTTGGCTGATTTCATAGGACTGAAAAATTACTTAGGTGGGCTGAACTGGATGACCTGACTAAGGGTCAGGTAGGGGGTGATGGTTGCCGATATGATGCTTCCAGGGCATAGTTTCTAGCTGCTCAGTCAAATTTGTTCCAAATAGGGAAATCAGATCAACAAAATGATCCTAATGGATGAACAATAGATTAAAATATCTGATTGGTCAAAAGAGAGGCATATATAGGCAAATCAAAAGAGGAGAGGGGAAATTAAGAAATCGATATATTCAGTTAAAGAGAGAAATAAAAAAGGGAATTAGAAAAGCAAAAAGAGATTGTGAGGTTAGTTGCAAGAGAATCGAAGACTAACCCAAAAGGATTCTTTCAGGTATACAGAAGTAAGATCAGGGACAAAATAGGCCCACTCAAAAGTTCCTCGGGTCAGCTCACTGACAGTGATAAGGAAATGTGTAGAATTTTTAACACGTACTTCCTCTCAGTTTTTACACAGGAGGATACCAGCGATATTCCAGTAATGATAAATTATGTAGAACAGGACGATAATAAACTGTGCACGATTAGGGTCACAAGTGACATGGTCCTTAGGCAAATAGATAAATTAAAACCTAACAAATCCCCAGGCCCTGATGAACTGTTTGCAAGGGTTCTAAAGGAATGTAAAGAGGAGCTTAGCACACCTTTGGCTAATCTTTTCAACATATCACTACAAACTGGCATGGTGCCAGATAAGTGGAAAATGGCAAATGTGATACCTATTT